GACCTGATGAACTGTACCCTTTTTTGACGTTGGCTCTAGGCATTCAAGGGCGCGGAAACGATTTTCGATAAAAACTTTAAATTGATTATAACTCGGCAAGTCGTTATTGGAATCGTTGCAAACACTGAGCTCCCATTGTTTTCGTGTTTCACTGTCTAACTTAAAAGTAACTATATGTATGATAATAACATCCCATGTAGTCACATTGATTCCTAAATTTGTAAGAGCGCTTAAACAATCGCTTGTAGTGTCAAGCAGCTCTTTCAATGATGTTGCTGATTCTACATTCATACGTTTTTGACCAAATAATCTTTTTAGAATGCAATTTGTTAAGTATTTTTTGTTGCTATAACGTTTTTCTAATAGAGTCCAACACTGCATATAATTAGCGTCAGTTATTGGCGTGTGTCGGACCAATTGCTCTGCTTCACCAGAGAGATGACTTTTTAAGTAATGAAGCTTCTGCACATTGTCCATAGATTCATTTTTGTGAACTAAAGATATAAAAAGGTCATGGAACGTTGTCCACTCTCCATATTTACCCGAAAACGTCGGTATGGCTATCTTAGGCAACTGTACGAAAGCATTAGTAGACTTAGAAATACTAGGATACTGATCCGTTTGTTGGACTGAACCTTTAGCAACAAGTATTTTGTTAAGTGTTGTTTTCATTAAACTTTTGTAAATTATGTAAATATCCTCTGCTTTATCATAAATATCATTAGCATCAGATTTTTCTATGTCTTCTAGTTTAAAGGTTTCAAATAATTTAGCATTAGTATTTTTAAATGTAATCCAATCCGTTTCTAATAATTCTTGTTTTGTTTCAATATACTCTACGGTCAATCTATCCTTACTGCTTTTCTTAAAATTAATCAATCCCTTATTTATTACATTGTATAAACTTTTTAAAAGGTTAATTGATCCTTCCATTTTATATTTATGTTTTTGAATTGTATATACAAGATATATTTTATTCGAAAACTTAACAAGGCAAGTGAACTAATCGAATTGCTTCAGTTGATCTAAATAAAAATTACAAGTGTCCCAAAATTACATCTAAAATTTCCTAAGTCTCAATTACCTGTTGAAATTTTGCAAGTGTTTTAGAAACATACAAATCGATTAGAAATCGGACATAGGTTCCCCGTTCCCCCGTTTTTCATAAATTATTCTAAGTCTTAATTCTAACATGCACATAAGAGAAATTTTATAAGTCCAAAATTAACAGCAAATTTTACAAGTCCCAAATTTCTTGTGATTCTTCAAAGTAAATTAATTCCTAGAAATAATGTCTATAATAGTTTAACTTGATTGTTTGACTTTTAATTACTGCTCAGGAACTAAATAAATATATAAATTAATGTACTCACAAATTCGCACTTGACACAAACACTATTTGATGACATCCGAGTGGCGCCCTCTTGTGGACACTGGTTGACCTACAAGCGTCTTTCGATGAAACGGTTGGCTAAACTGCTTGTGATGTCTTTTGCTGCGTCTGTGTTGAACTGGATATTGCACGTCCTCTGCGGCGGCAATATTGAACTAATCCGCATCGGTTAATCTCACCTACAACGACGACAGACGTAGCTGTCGCTGCTGCGGTGAGCGTGTACTCTAGTGCAGCGATCCACTGCGAGTTACACGAGGGGGGCGATGCCAGCGGTGGCACCGTAAAGTAGTCCTTATCCGGCTCGAAGGACCAATGTTTGATACCAAGCGTGGTATCGTTGGACTGGGTGAGTGACTAGTAGGGATTTTAATAAAACCACTGTGCACTGTATTATGAGTTCGTAGGACTCCACGGTTTAATTGGCAATCGCCCTGAACTAAACACCAGTCTTGATCTATCATACACAATTTTTGTAGGCCTTATACACTAACGTGTGTCACACAACCATAGCGCGATCTAAGTTTTATAACAGCTCCATCTAGGGAACAAAAAGTGAACTAATAATATCAAACTTATGAGTTTGATCGCACTATGTTGCTGATGATCTCGAACACAAACAGACACTCCAATTTTATTTATTTGTATAGGTGACCTTGAAAATCACAGGTTGTTATTATGATCTTAAAGGTACTTAAAGGCTAGTTACCTGTAGTTACTGCGAAGACTGTTAATTTTTTTCTTAACATCATCTCGCATCGCATTTGGCTTAATTTTTTTATAAATTTGCAACAACTTGTCGAGGTCTTTATTTTTTTTAATTGTGTTCAAATAATTTTTGTCTTTAGGGTTCCATAGAGACGAGCATGTTTCGTATAAAAGAAGAAACTCTTTTAAATCACTTTTAAATTCATTTTGTTGAGACTCGGCGTCGTCGGGGATTTAATTCGTTATTCTGCTCGCTTCCTTCCGCCATGACTGCAAGCGCGTACTGACTGAAAATATCACGATGCACTTACACTGTCAATAATATTGAAGCCACGCCCCCTTAGTATCGTGGATTTCAAAATATCCGGATAACCTGCGATACCATCAATACTGCATTAGTATTAGCGTGATAAAACGAGTATCGCGTGATATTATTGACTGTGTAATATACCCCATTGTAGTCCGTACCTATATCATAATCGCGATATCGTATAACTTTTGGTTCTTCCCTGAGTACATAGTCACCCTTGTTATTATTACAATATTTAGCAAAAAATTGAGCAAGAGAAATACCTGCCTAATTTTCAGGTCTCTTCTCATACTTGTTGAACCAATTTTCCTGCCATATGTCGGTTGAATCATCTTCTAGTTCACTTAATTTTTTCATTGTCTTCTTTATTCTATGCATTTTGACTGGCCAAATGGTTGGTATATAGACAATAACAGTTGAACTTTTTGACATTGATTCTCTCAATAATATATCTCAATAAATAAAATATGCAACCTCTTGACTCGTCATCTCAGTATGGTTCAAAAGATTAATGCTTATATTTCTCTGCTACATATTTGACCACGTAAGCTGCACAAGAATATTCTTCAGTTATAAATTGGAAATCAGTGTTGGATCTGACAACGTTGAATATGAAGGGATTAAATGGATTATTCCACTTTTCACATGGTTCACGTTTTGGTAAAACTCGTGGTCTATTAATTCCTGCTCGTATAATGTTGACATATTCGTCATCTGAAGCAATATTATTTTCATCGTAGAAAGATTGAAAATCATTGTATTCGTATTTTTCCAAGTTTCTTTGGATTTAATTATATTTAGCTTTGTACTGTTGGAAACCATTTTCTGTATCTGGCATATGCGTCAGAAGTTTTATAGATTATAGCAATAGCAAGTGTAATACGTTCATTTATTGTTAAATTAGATAATATACTAATAAAAAAAATACCTATAGCTTTTAGGCATAACTATAATAAAGTAAGATGTATCATAGATTGTATGGAGATTGAAGTGCAAAAGCCCTCAAAAGCACTAAATCAAGCTCTTTCATGGTCGGATTATAAAAAAGCTAACACAGTTAAGGCTGGCGTCCTTTAGGGACGGATCGGGGCGGGTCGCATTGGAACGGGCCGCGGTTCTGTGATGCTCTTGCGTCCATCTGTACTGGGCGCGGCGGACCGCCTAAGCGGATTTGATCTTGCAGACGTGTTTTCGTGCTTGGACTGACATCGCGCTACCATGGACAGCTCCGACGAAGAGATGTTATGGTTTCAAATCCTTCTTGAGGAAGAGCAAAAAAATAAAAAACGACGACGAGTACACAAGGTGTGGGTGCATGATATATGCCAGAAAAGAAATGTATTTGGTGAATACCATCATTTGTTTAACGATTTGAAGAAAGATCCAGTCAAATTCTTCGAGTATTTTCGAATGTGTTTTGGAAAATTTGAAACATTGCTTAATATATTACGTGAAGATTTACAGAAACAAACCACAAAATTTCGAAGGCCAATTGAACCAGAAGAACGACTTGCTATTTGTCTCAGGTAATTATGATATTTGACATCTAATAATAATTTTATTATAATTAATTATTGTTTACACAATGAGATCGTGCTTTACCTCCAATCTAAGAATCTGTCCTATACCCGAATAGGGGCATGGGTAAACCACTATTGCTTGGCGGTAGTCTTTATAACTAGTATTATAAATACAAAAGTTTGGATGGATGGGTGTGTTACTCGATCACTCAAAAAGGCTGAACAGATTTGGATCAAATTTGGCACTCAGATAGTTTATTACCTGTATGAATACATAAACCACTTTATTTATGTGACAATAAAAAAATTGAGTCATAATTAATCATATTTATTAGTAATTCCCAATAAAGTTAACTCGTCACAACATTAACATTACACAGTAACAATTATTTATTTTTTGGAAAATGCAGAAATTGTTCCATGATTTCAGAATCTTGTACATCATGTTCTTGTACTTCATAAACTTGTCCTTCATATACTTGTTGTGACGAGTTAGATAGCATCGATGCCGTAGTAGGTGATGCTTGAAATGATGCTTGTCCAGAGGTCCGTAAAGGTTGAATGGACGAGAATTGATTATTTTGACTTAAAATCACGGCTGCAAATGGCTGTTGATTTATGGTTTGCATATTTTGGGACTCTCTACTCGCATGCGACATATTATTTGTATCAACTTGTCTGCAAAACAAATCAGTCTCAGCATCGTTCACAATTTTAAACACCGCACCCTTAACCCGTATCTGAACATCTTTCGGGAATGTTGTGACTGTTTTCCCCAAGTTTGTGAAAAAATCTACCATAGTATCATAGCCTTGGTTAAGCGATTGATACTTTTTTTCTAAGTATGATTGGAACAGAGTTTGTGTCGGTGGAGACGACTGAGAGATTCTGTCTGTCTTCTTCTTTTTGGTGATCCTACTCGAATCAGTTTCACTGACTTGGGATCTACTTATAGGTGGTGGTGACATGACTGATGATGAGTTTGATGATAGTGGTGACATGGCTTGTGAATCTGTTGCTGACCGTGGTGACAGGACTTGTTCATCATCACTCAAAGATGTCAAATTTGTTAAATTTTGTTGTGTTCATTACATATAAATGGAGAGAGAAAGCTCAGTTCTTTATCAAATCGAATTGGTTTTATGTTAGTGGCTGCCTGGCCACTCTTCGTTACACGTAGTTTTTTGGCGCGTCGATAATTATCGCGAATTCTCTTCCATCTCTCTTTACAATTTGCCGCTGGAACAAAATAAAAATAATATCAGTCAACAAACATAGAAATGACTTCAATGAACTCTACGATTATGGCAATGGATGAAGTGAGGTGCTCCAACTTCATTATTGACGGAGAAATCGCGTAACATTCACACAAGAAAAAAATAGAATTGAATTGAGAACCTCCTCTTTTTATGGAAGTCGGTTAATAAAATGTGCTTTTGTTTTAGGTTTTTGGCCACGGGGAATTCATTCAGGTCGCTGGCTTTTAATTATCGACTCGGAGAAAAAACAGTAAGATATATCGTTTATGAGACTTGCACGGCGATATGGAACAATATGAAAGTACCTACACCTTCCGAAGAGGATTGGAAACAGATTGCAAGAAAATATTGGGAAAAATTGAATTTTCCTAATTGTATTGGAGCGCTGGATGGCAAACATGTTGTTTTCGAATGCCCCGCAAATAGTGGCTCGAAGTATTTTTGTTATAAAAAAACATTTTCAATTGTTTTGTTGGCCTTAGTGGATGCTGACTACAGATTTACACTACTCGATATAGGTGGCCTTGGAAAGAATTCTGATAGCTGTTTATTTGCCAATTCTGTCGTGGGAAAATCATTGGCACAAAACAAATTAAATATACCTGATGACAAGGCACTGCCGGGTACCGAGGAAATTATGCCTCATGTTATAGTGCTAGAAGGTTTAGAATTTATGAAAGGCGGTTATCTATGACTCCTGAACATGTCAATATTGTTGTAGCGGCAACATGCTGTTTACATAACTTTTTGACAAATAGCCCATCGTATTCTTAACAAGATGATCTAAGAGAAACTGTGAACGAGAGACTAGTAAATTTACCAATTATTGGAGGTAATTCATCTCAAGTCGCTCTCGCAATTCGCAACAAATTCAAAAGTTATTTCGTATCTCGTGCAGGCTCATGTCCATGGCAAATGACAGTTGTGAACAGAGGCTATCGCCACATATACCGAGACCCAGATATGCAAGCGCAAGAAGAATAAATATAATTATAAATTAATAATAAGTTACTTATTATTGCGTAAAGTTTGATATACTTATAATATTTTAAAAATGTTTGAATAAAAACAAAAACCGACTTCAATGAAGTCTTCGCTTGGAGGTGCTTTGAGGTGCTCCGACTCCAGTGAAGTCTGTTTATGTTTTTTTATTTAAACATTTTTATTTCACCATTTTTTCATGTGAAAGACTAATTTAAGTACACTTAACTCTGTATGATAATTAATAAACCGATTTTGATGAAACTTACAGTTTTCACTCAGTTGAATAATACCTAGTTTAACAAAAAAAAGAATTACTTAAATCGGACTATTAAGTATCGGAGATATATGAGCACAAATATTGCACCTGTCTAATAATAATACACAATAACATTCCCTATCTCAAAAACTTTTGAACCGATTTTGATGAAGTTTGCACCATTCCCTAAGTTGAACAATACCTAGTACAACAAAAAAGAATTATTTAAATCGGACTTACACTTTTGGAGACGTGGACAAACATACAAACATACATACACTTTTGAAATTTGGCACAGGTCTATAATAGAAGCTGATATAGACTAACATATCCAAAAACTAGGCATTTCTGGAAATATTACATACATACGGGTCGAAAACCCATAATTTAAATGAATAGGTACTTACGTGTTTCATTCAAAATCTGTGCTATTTCTTGCCATATATTCATGCGCCGCTGCTCATCGTGATATCTAGGGTCTCCTAGATCATACAGTTCTCTATACTTTTGCACTAAAGAAATAAGCAGTTCTTCGTTCATTTTCGTTTATTTTTATTAGCACGGCACGTGCGCTCACATCCGCCTGCCTGCGTCGACTAGACGGATCGGGGCGGGTCGCAGCGCACCGCCGACAGAAATACGCCTGCGAAGCGATCCGCCAATGCGTTGCCGCCCGCCGCGCTCCGATCCGTCGCTAATAAACGATATTTCATACAAAACATAGCCAGGCGTATTTTTGCGTTGCGATGCGGCCCGACCCGATCCGCCTAGTGGACGCTAGCCTTTAAATATCTTGTGTCTTGCACAACAAACGGGTTAGTCAATTATATTTCCCCTGGTTATGGAGGACGAATAACAGACACATGCTTGGTAGAATCCTGCGACTTAATCAAGTGTTTTCAACCGGGTATGTGTGTGATGGCTGACAGAGGATTCAAACATGTAGAAGTATATTTGCGTAAGAGTGGAGTGCTACTAGTACGACCTCCAAGTGTTGAAGCTAAGGAAACTAAACAAATAGCCAGCTTAAGAATTCAAATAGAACGGGTGATTAGACGTTTACGGGAATTTAATATGATAATACCACATGCTTGTCTTAATTTAAATTTGGTCAAAGTTCTTGATGATGTGGTAACAATAGCATGTGGTTTAATTAACTTACAAGGTTCTCTGATAATATAAATAGACACAAGAAATTTCTGCATTTTTATTTACTCCTCTGTACTTTTATATAGTATTGGATAAACATGGGATTTCCAGAATGTAATGATGATTTTAAGAAAATTGGACACATAATCTTCATCAAACGTAACACATAGAATTTCAACATTTTTATTAGCACTATAATTAGGGTCTGCCACACAAAAATAACACTTCTTGAGTCCACTCAAAAACATTTGTGTCTGCATCTGGGCATAGCATTTGTTACTGGGTTTACCATTTTTATATATTTAATATAAGTTTTTTTCGCTAATGGGGCACTTAATGTTAATAATATTATCTTCACATATCCCATCAGATGAACCAGCTATCATTGGATAGTTTTTGGATATTATGAGTCCACAAACTTTAATTTTTTCCCCAGTTTTACACCAACTGTTTTCCGTACTTCATCCTCTAAACTTCTACCTCGTTTCATGGCTCTTGTGTCTGGGATTATCCCTCCCATGATAATAGATATCAGTGTTCTATCACCTTTTTGGCACCGGCTGAGTTCATAAGCCCTAGATGCTGTAATCCGACCATATCTTAATTCATACCAAAGGCTATTATTATTACTATATTTTTGTACTGGTCTCTGGTCTCAATCTCAGTTTTACTTATGATTTTATCACTCAAATTGATTCCACTTAAGAATATATCACTGCAATTATCTTTATATTGCAGCACAAGTTGGTGCATTGATGCACAAAGTAATTCTTTACAAACATAGCTTGATTGAAATCTTATTAGCTCACAACTTTCTAGTTTTCTCTTTTTACTTTCTTCCAAAAAATAACCCAGCACTGTTTGATTAGACGGTAAGATAGGTTTACCATTGGCCAAATCTTTAGCAGTAATAAATTTCAATGTAGTGCCAACTCTGGACAGTTTGAATTTTGGCCAATAGCATTGTACTTCAGTAGAAGATGGTCCTTCGCTCCTTCGATTGGCCCACATAAGAAGTGCTATGGCATGCTTGCACCCTCCTTGAGCAGCAACACAATCATGTTACATATCACTTTTTCTTTGTCTTCATCAACTATCAAAGTTACTGTATATAACTTTGCATGGACTTTATGCTCTGGACAAATTTTGCATTTTACAGTGCACATTTTTCCTTCTCTTTGAAGTTGCACGTAACTTATAGCTTGAGTTTTGTGGGCAGCAAATCGCATCTTGTAGCTGTTCCCCCAACTCGCGACGACGTCCAGTGCCTCCTGGGCGTTTAAGCGAACCTCCTCCGTGGTCCCCCCCGAAGCGACAACCAGAATGTCGTCGGCGAACGCCTGAACGTGGGCCTTCAGGTGTTCAGCGGCTTCAAGCAGCGGATCTAGCTGTACGTTCCATAGGAGGGGACCACAGGTCGATCCCTGTATGCATCCTTTATTGGTTGCTGTTGTAACCGTGTGTCCCGCGTATTGCACGGTCACCTCCCTGTCGCTGAGGTAGCTGAACAACAGCCTTAGGGTTGAGGTTTCAACTCGCTTCCTCAAGAGCACTCCCAACACTCCGGGCCACCAGGCGTTATCAAAGGCCCCCTCGATGTCCAGGGAGATGACGACCACAAGTTTCCTCTGCGCCCTGAGTGCCCTAACCATGTTCACCGCCTCGTATAGAGCGTCCTCCGTGCTGCGCTGGGGCATGAATCCAAATTGCCTGGGGCTCAGCCTAGACTTGCTTCCCAGTGTCCATAGCATTCTCGTCGCAAAGAGCTTCTCCAGTAGTTTTCCAAGTACCGGCAGTAGTCCAATGGGTCTATAGGATTTTGGCTCCGTATATGTTTCTTTGCCGGGCTTGGGAATGATGCGGATAATTGCTCTCTTCCATAGGCGTGGAAAGTGGCCCAGCCCCAGACAGGCATTGAACAAGGACAGCATAAGTGCCGGGTTGCTCTGCATCACTCTCGAACAGATGTCCGAGGTGAAGCCATCCTCCCCCGGGGCCTTCCTCGGGTTCATCCTCCTCAACACCGTCCAAACCTCCGCAGCGGTAAAGTTTGTGAGTTCGAGTGGCCTTTCATTTATGAACTTGAATTCCTGCGCAACTTCGGCTCTGCACTCTCGCTGTTCCGAGGTGTCGGTCTCCTCCGTGTCCCTGGATAAAAAGTTTCCGCTAACAGCTGCGCCGATGCGATGGGAGTTAGTGTAGTGCCCCGGGCAGCAGGGTCCCTCAACAGCTCGTTTGATTTCATCGCCCATGCCGTCCCACACTGACTCCTTTTCCTGTTTGCCACAGAATTCCCTCCAGCTTCTTGTGATAGCTTCCTTGTAGGCCCTTTTCGCCTCCAGGTATCGATCGACTGCGTACTGCCGTCGTTCGGAGCTTGCGTTTCTTATTCTGCTCCTCAGCCTGTTCACTGTTTTCTTCTTAGCTTCGATCTCAGGAGCCCACCAACTCGCTTGGGGCCGTCGCCTCCCGCTCGACATTGCAGGAATCGCCACCCTGCAGGCCTCCCTGATACAGCCGGTGAGTGATTCCACCAATTCCTCCAAATCTTCCGACGACGAGACCGTCCTCGCTCTCTCAGGGGTCAGTCCACGCTCGTCCAGGCTCGCAGTCAGCTCGTCATCAAAAAGCTCCTATTACAACAACAACTGACATTACATAGATGTTTCATTTAAAGGTGTAGAGGTGTTTCATATTTAAATAAATGCAAATATTCAGTGCTTATTGTACTAATGCTGTTTTGAAAATGTTAGGGCGTTCTTTACTTGCGAGTAATCCTGTCAAACTGATAGATTACCTCCCTTAGGCCCGCCGCTGATTGCGACTTTTTGTCACTGTGACTTATTGTTACTGTCACCTGCTGTCACCCACGATGCACTCACTGAATCTGTTCTTGGGTAACAAATCACGTTCATTTTTGTAATGGACTTCAACGAGGTTGCCGTGATTTGTGCTCTTGAAATACGTAGAAGAAAAATGAAACGGTAAAGACGCTACTGGGTGCATCCTATATACACGGAAAGATTATTTAAAGGAAAATTCTACACCAAATATTCTGAATTACGTCAGTATCCACCTAAGTTTTTTAATTATCTTCGTATGTCTATAAACTCTTTCGATGAGTTGCTGTCTTTGGTAGGTCCTGTGATTACATTACAAGATACAATATTTCAAACGGTTAACGGTAACTTTGAGGTAAGTAACAAAAACTACATCAATTACTTACTTAAACAAAAAATCTTTATTAATCTGAGGCATAAACATTTGCAATATTACAATCATCTATAGAGTAATTTGACACATATGATTGCACAGTTTCGTTCGACCGCTGGGGAGACATATTATCATAAAAAGATTGAGTAGATGTAGAGGGTGCAGAGGGATTGAAACATTGTTGTGAAAGTACACGACACTAGAGTATATTGAATAATATGAGATAGAGTATTAACTCTAGCTAGGCGATTGCAGCGCGCCAAGCGGGTAGTTACGGAGTTACAAGTACTCATATATATAACTATACTTAGCGTAGAGTACTCATGTATAGTTACGTAGCACATGTATTTGTTGTTGTTGTATAGAACATTGTACGGCTACAAAATAAATAATACAAGAAGTATGTAAGAAACTATTAATTGTGTGTTTTTAATATTGGAAACATTGATTTTGCACAGCATCTTCTTCTGGGAAATTTATTTTGGTACCGGTTAATAACTTGTTACAATCTTTATACCAATTATAAAGAAACAAATTACAGGATAGTTCCTCCGTGAACTCTATTACTTGATTTTTATGCAATGGGCATGTAATAAAACTGTAATCACTGTTGATACTTATAAGTATTTTAATATAGTTCTTAATGCCTTTTTCCATATTTCTGTTTCTTAACACATAAATAAATGAATCATGTATTACAGAAAAGTATGTGATTGTGTTTTCTGTAGGATATGTCAAATATTTTTTGTTTTCTTGGTATTCCTTATAAGGTAGGATACTTTCACTATTAATATTTTTGTTTATAAAACATTCTGTGCATATTGTACAGTTTTTAAATATTTTTGATTGTGCTTTTCTTACTACATACCCAGCAACATATTCTAAAGCTGACCATAAAACTGGATTATTTTTTTTAGTTATATATTTTTTATTATTTCATGGTTTAAGTCATCCATTTCAATTTTTTTAAATTCTGATGTCGTAGTAGGTGGCAAATTTCGAAAAAAAAAAATTTTAAAGAGGTGAACACTGAGCACCTATCCTTTTCGCAGTTTGCACCAGTTGTTAATTGTTGTTAATTGGCAGCGAAGCAAATGCTGCTTCAAAGGCTGCACATGTGGGATTATTGTTTCGATATCTATGACTGCGAATGCATCCAAAAAAGTTTTCCAGAGGATCTTGGTTCAAGTGTCGCAGCCATATTGATTTAATATTAAAATTGTTAAATAATTTCGATTTTAAATATTCAACATTTTCTATTGTTTTTAACCAATTTGTAATGGAAGGCACTGTCCCTGTCTTGTTGCTTGCAATGAAAGTCATCGTTTTTAAAACAGCCTTTGCCTCGTCCCAAACCTTCTGGTGGGTGGAATTAATAAATGAATAAATCTCTCCGAGCCGATTTCGGCTACAGCGACTGCTGGACAGGCTCAGCAGATGGCGTCTCGTTGGTCCGCGCGGTGGTGTGCTCGCATATGGCTGTTGTAGCCAATTTTGGCCTTTTAAGTTCTAGAGCATTTTGGACAAGTGAGAACGCCGCCACTATAGTGGTAACTTAAAGCTGTTGGTGGTCTGGCTTTTAGCTCGTCTCTTTTTGTGTCGAGCTCGTCTTTACGTGAGCTTTCAAAGGCGTCGATCTTCTGCCTTACGAGACGTCTCCATTCCGGGCGGTTTGCCGCAGATGACTCCCACGATAAGGGGTCAATACCGCAGCTTTTCATATGCCTTTTAAGCACATCTTTGTATCGCAGGAGCTGTCCGCCATGCTTGCGCTTACCCTCTTGAAGCTCGCCATAAAAGATGCACTTGGCGATCCGTTCATTTGGCATACGGAACACGTGACCACACCAGCGTAATGAGTGGAATTAGGTGTAAGAGGACCAAGAAACTTTTTGCCTGGTTTTTTCTTGAAGTTATGGAAGCTTCCATTGACAGAGTCAAATAACTCATCAAAGAAAAGTAGTAGTCTTGCAGTTTCCTTCGCATCTTCTACTAATATTCCTTTCCCTGAAATATATTACATTAATTTTACAAGTCAGTCTTATATGTATGACACACATAGGTGTGTCAGTGTAGTTATCATATATGGTATATGATATGATATGATAAGAAGCAGCAAGCTCTCTAAATTTTAACTAACACACTAACACTTTAATTTATTGCAGTGTAAAGGAGTAACAAACTTACAATAAATGTATTTTATTTTTTTAACGTTAGTAATAACACTAATTAATAATATGGTATGGTAACCAGCTGATAAACATACTTAAATATTCTAAATACAGAAATATTATAGATAAATTATACCCAAACATAGAACTAATGATATCGCTAATCTCACAATTATTTGTCCTGGGTGGGAATTGAACCCACGACCTTCCCTTACCAGTCAGTTACTAACCACTAGACCAATAAGCCAATATGTATACAGGAAATAAAGTATCTTGTCTTTTACTAATGAAGTGCTATGTTATTTCAACTATTTTTGTATCTTGGATATAGAGCCTGTTGGGTTTGCAACTATTAAGCAAAAACCATTTAGGTTGATCTGATCTGCAATTAATTTGCTGTATAATATATTAACGGGGAGCCACACTTTAAACTTAATCAACCATGAATAAGATATGGAATAATAATTATATGGCCCATTAAAGACTGCGCATGGTTCGAGGTATCGTTAAATATAAAGCATGGGATTTACACTGATATACTGTAAGTTTAGTTTTTCAAAATTACTAACTTGCTAAATATCCCATGAATATTGCGGTTGAGTGGCTGAGTACTTGAGCTGCGCATTTCACCTTCATCTTTTTTAGTTTATTTGGGTTTAAATGGCTTTCTGTCAATTTTGGCAGCATACGAAGTCCATCAAAACCAGGATCTTCTTTAAGTAGCATTTCTAAATGCTCCCATTTTGCAACATTAACATCATTTTTCATAATGCATTTTAAATTTTTGTTCATTAAATTGTTGCGTATGCCTTTAAGTAGGTGAGGTGGATCATATAAAGGTATGACTTCTTCTCCATTAACTTCAAACACTTTTCTTTTAAATACCTCATTACGGCGTAAATAGTCTGCCTTAGTTTTCTGTATTAATTTATTAATAGCACTTTGATCACATACGGTTGTCAATACTTTAAAACCAATTAAATACAGTTTTTCAATTACTTCATGTATTTGTTGAGCAAGTTCAATTGCAGATGTAGTCCCACAACAAAAGGTATAAGACACAGGTTGTATAAGTTGTATTGAATGCTCCTTATCATGAACACCAATGCATGGTCTGCAATCTTTTTTTGAGTGCATTTCCCATTATTCACAAAGCCAGTTATCGTGTCTGTCCTCCTCTTATAGTCAAAATGTGGTGCTAGGGCAATCTCATCAAATAATAATGAACAAAGTCTTTGGTTGGTTGACATTTTTGAGGCTCTTTTTTTCAATTCTTTAAATAGATTTTCATTAATACCTGGCTTTAAGCCCGTTCTTATTATCATTTTGTTTAATGATAAGGGGGTCGGCAGCACAAATATATTTCTCAGCCACTTGTAGGCTCTTGGGCCTTGTTTATACAGCGCCAGTGCCATTATTTTTTCCTTGTTGGTGTATCTCCGACCAGACTTCTTTTTACCTACTTCCCTGAATTGAAGACAGGTAAATATTGTAGCCAATGTAGTAAATTTTTTCAACATTTTTTGGAAAGTTGTGTTCTCTGACAAATTAAACGCCTTTTTTTATTTAATAGCATAGGTTGTTTTGGCCTTCCTTAAACTCTGTACTTGACGTGCAAGAACAGATACTTCGGTTGAGTAAATCCTTGATATGGGTTTACCTCTCCTTCCTGAAAATTATTGTGATATTTGATTATTATTATACATATTAGCGATGTAGAAAATGAGGGCACTAGTAAAATGTAGGTTAAACTAGAAGAACATCATAGATAGAGTGCTTTAGGTGCCGAGCGGCAGTCAGTGCAAATGCCATTTGTAGGATTCAATTCTTGGGTTGTTTGATTATTGTGGCGTTATAGGTGGAATAATAGTGAAGAGGGACAAATTGTACACCATAAGATATTGTAATTGCATAAGTCCACCATATGCACAAACGTATTTATTTAAAATATTTACCTTTTGTTACTTTTCTTCTTACAGAAGAGTCGTGAGCCCTAATTATTTGCACTTCATTATTGGTCGAAATTTCAGGAAAAAATTCTGAAAAAAAACAATGTAATTGTTTGAAAAAGTTTTGTAAATTAAATAAAATAATGTTGAATATAATTAATCCTTTCTATGATGTAGTTGCTTTATATGGGCCAAAACAATCAACAATATATCCATCACACAACAATCATGAAGGGTTTCAATAAGTTTCTGTATTTGTGTAGAGAGTAAATCCCATGAGAAAACCAAGGGCTTTTTGAATCTAAATTTACAATACAAAAATTGTACAAACTTATCTGCCTAGCGTAGAAGGCATTCAAAACATAGTGAAACAGAGTTTGATATGTCCTGCTTCATATGACTATAGAAGGCATTGCTTCTTAGTTTATGCACTTTAAGTTCAGTTATAAGCAGTTGTTTTCTGCTAGGATCCTTTTCCATTTTTATTTTATTTGACAAAAGTAAACATACACTGCAAGTGTCTGAAGATGGGCTTGAAAACCCTATGGTATATTCATGATGGAAAATCTTATAAAACATTGTCTTTTTTACTCGTAACTTTGGTATTACAAAATATTATATAACTGCAGCAATTTCTTACAGTTCAATCCAGCACTTAAAAAAAATCTTTTGGATTTTTGTCTATTATAATGACTCTCTTTGGCGGGAAGGCCGTTTAAAAATTGTCTCAAAGATTCCTTTCTGTTCACAGATTTGTGAGACTTATGATCCCCGCCACGGTTTTCTGCAGGGATATTTCCTTGGATTGTCTGTTTATTAATGTTATTTAACCGTTTTTCAGATACAGAAAAGACTGCAGAAAACATCTTCTTGCATACACACTTCATTTTGTTTTTCTTCACAAACAAATTGTATGAACAGCTCACATTCCGTGACTTCACATTATTTTTAGGTTTTGTCGTATTTATAGGATCATAATAATTAATCTTGACAAGTAAATATCTTGACTTACTTTGGTTTCTTTGCAATAAAATGCATTACGGTTCTTCAAAACCATTCGCATGTTAAAAGACGAGCACTAGAACTTGCTATTTTAACTGTGTTTGCATGGCACTTTAAATTTTAATCCAAGAGGATCATCGTCAGTATATCTAAAACAACACAAATAAATAATAAAATCTGGAAAAATATCAAAACTTGTGGCTTAAATTACGAGTAGGGCAGTCAATGTAAAACGCACACTTACGATTGCCTTGTACGACTTTTAAGACGAGACCTATATTTTCGACCACCTGCATTCAATTCCATTAAAACTAATGAAAACAAAAACAATTTAAAAGCTACATTTAAACTGGAAACAAATGTAAAAGAGCCTTGTGATAAGAGAATACACATTAACCACTATGATTTGGAAATAAAATTGAATTTTAGTAAATAAAAACCAATGTGTATTATTTTATTCAGTTAAAATATAAAAGAATATATGAATGTATACGTTAAATATTATCTACTACAAATTAAATATGTACTATCTTTTAACTTATGTTGGCAAAGAGATCCAAGTCCTCGTCGGGGTCATCTTGTTGGTCGTTGACCAATAGGGATGTTAACACTAATCACAAATTAACGTTTAGTGTTAATTATATGATAGTTTGTATTATTAGAATATCGAAAATCACATTTTTATAATTTAATATAACTTAATAAATTTATTAAAAAGGATTTAAAATGCTATTTGTATAATCTGCTGTCACGTGACTGCAAACACCAATAAGAGCTTATTACGTCACTAACCACAAAACAAGCGGTCAAAGACTACTTCTCTGCATTTTGAAAAAACATCGATGTTTTTTTGATTCGATACATCGCAACTATACATCGATGCCTTTCGATGTATCGAATAAAAACATCGATGTTTTTTAACATCAAATACTTTTTCTAAAATTGTATTACAAAACTCAACTAATGTGGGAAGTGACCATCGAGGCCATCTTTTCATAGTAAAATTTTTTACAACTGAAGTTTATGAAAAGAGCTAAATCCATTATTTTATCATAGTTTAGATATTATTCTTACATAAAATGATGGAATTAACTCCTTTCGTAATGTAAGTAAAAGTAAACACAAGTAAAAGCCATGTATCAGAAAAATCTGTATTATATTCTACAAAAAATCAAATTAAAAAACACTAAATAACCTGAAAAATTTTTGCTAATTCTGTCAAAAGAATATTAGAAATATGATAGAATTAACGTCCTATATCTAGTGTGCTTTTAGAAAACTTTGCTAGAACAATAGTTTATTTAAACGTTTGCGTTTGTATTTCGTTGATGATTGACGATTTGTGCTGCTTTTGAAAACAAACGTTCAGATGGAACTGAAGTTCCTACCATATTTAAATATTTGTACGCAATTGTATATAAAGTTTAGGAAGCTGAATCTTGAGATCATTCCAAATTTCTAAAGGATTCTCATTTAATCTGCCTACTTGGCTACGTAAATAAACAGATAGTTCATCAGAAATAGAATCGTCAGATTTCACCGTTTTCCAACTCTTATGGACTAATTTGTGGTGATCATCCCACAGAGAAAATGTATCTTCGGCTTTGTCAGAATGATCTGAAGAAGCAGATTCCACGACGTCATTTTGTTTTCTAGTTTTTATCATTTCCTTGATTTTTGAAACAGCCATGGAGCAAGCGAGTGAGTCCGTGAAATGCATTTTCTTAAACCTGGGGTCCAAGATTGTGGCTACAGCGAGAGGAGTTACTCTCTCTATAACACCCATTCTTTTGTCAATCTCTTTCAGGATCAACGACTGCAATTCTAGGGCAAAAGACTCTTCGACTTTAAGAGGTTGAAGTCTTGAAAGAAGACAATGGATAAGTGGTATTACTTTGCTGCTGGTGCAGTACTTATCACCTGACACTTCCTTGGTTGCAGCTTCGATCGGTCGCAGAACTTGTAATACCGAAGAAAGAATAGATAATTCTGACGCAGTAAGCATTGGTAGTGCATTTTTATGACCAATGATTATTTTATTGATGACGCTGCGAAGCTCCTAAAATCGCTCAATCATATAATAAGTACTGTTCCATCTCTTTGGGACGTCTTGTATCAATTTCGTTTCTTCTGGGTTGCTTTACGTAATTCGTTACTAGCTATATTGCTTTGTCTAAAACAAGTTACAATTTCTCTTAGCTTGGTTATCAAGTTTTGCAGATTAGTACACTGCTGTATAGCATTTTGTGCTACCAAATTAAGGGTGTGGGCGAAACATGGTATATGTTTTTTTCCAAAAGCTAAATCAACAGCGTTTACCATGTTTTCTGCGTTGTCTGTGATCACAGCTGAAACTTTGTTCTTATCTTTGTCCCATTCGGCACAAATTTTTAACAGCATTTTAGATATGTGTTCTGAAGTGTGGCGTTCATTTGACTCGTAAGCTCCAAGAGTGATCGAAAAAAAATAATTACCTTTACCGAAGTGTGCTGTTATTCCTAAAAAACTTCTCATGCTCATCATTTCAGACCACATGTCAGTAGTTAGAGTAATGTTTTCAATATTTGACAATTTTTCTTTGAAGACTTCTGATAATGCTGAGTATTTATCATCAACCCATCGAGTCAACGTCGTTTTACTGGGAAGTTTATAATGCGGCGCAAGAACTTTAATCAAATGGCGAAAGCCTTCATTTTCAACAATTGTAAATGGTTGATTGTCTTTACATATCATATACATTAGGGCATTGTTTATTCTTAATGCTTAATCACCTTTCTCTAAAAAAGCGTAAATTTCTTCAAAACTTGACACAATAGACTTCTGACGTTTTGGTGCTGGAGGAATAGAAATACATACATCATCTTTTGAAGAGTCACATTTTTTATCAACGTCACTAGTCGATTCTATTATACCAGCAGAGCTCGTTGATGGTAGTGGATCAGAGCTATTGGGAACTAATTGTGTATTTTTCTCAATGCTCTGAGTATTTTGAGTATTTTCTCAATGCTCTGAGTAGTTGGCTTTTTTAGAACAGTCTTTATTAAACTCCTGAAAAGCAGCCTTATTTATATTTTTTAAATGACCTATTAGATTAGTTGTATTGCCACAAGATTTTATTAATTTTTGACAAAGTCTACACCTTGCAGTTATTTTTTCCTTCAATTTTGTCGTAAAACCTCCATACATCACTCTTCTTGGAAGGTGCCATCGTCGTGTTGTCACTCAGACTGAAATAAAAATAGTTTTTTCAATATAGTATATTAATACTCGTATATTACTTAAATTCAATAAATTCGTCAATCTAAAATGTCACGTCACTACTATCAAATTTTTTAATAAACTTAGCATTAAACATAAGTAACAATTACGAAATGATGCAGACTAATAATAATAAGATGATGAAAAGATTTTTTTATGTCATCGATAATGTATTGATTTGTTAAGAAATTTAGGTATACAATGCAATTTGACGAATGAATTGCTATCTAAAATATAATTTAAGATGTAGATAGGTAAATAAATAACGTGTGATTGTGTGTGTTACAGGGAAAGTACCTAATTTACTAATCTCAAAATTACTAACAGTAGGTATTTATTCTAAATTACGAAATTCACTGTTACGCTTGTAGACATGATAAAATATATCACATCACATCAACAGCCTATACTAGTCCACTGCTGGGCATAGGCCTCTCCTTAGAAAGGAGGTTTTGGCCTACTATACTACAAAATAAAAATATAACCTCACTTACTTGTGTTAGTCCCATCAAATATGTGAGCTCACGAAAAGATGAGGTTTTATTGTAATGAGTACGTATATGAATATGTTAGTAGTAATTATACACAATTCACTACTATCTTATTTTGTTTCCAAAATCAAAATGTAATTAAATGTTTATAAACATGGAAACTCGCTCGCCAGTCGACATGAGAAAAGTAGTTTTTTTTATTGTCACTGCACTGACTCTTGCGCAGTGCTGCCAACATCGGGTCCATATTAGGGAATTCGGAATAATGTTGCGTTCATAAATAGGTAAAATTTTAGTGGTCAAACTTAAGCTTTTTTTAATAAGGTCAAACCAAAGAGGATATAATCACTACGTGGTCAAACTTGTCTATCACCAGCTTTCAATACATCGGATCGATTCGATGTTTTTCATTGCAAACATCGATGTTTTCGATGCATCGATGTATATCGAATATCCCTAGCATTTTCTAATATAGTTTGCAATCTTAGCGACGGATTAATCAGTAGCCTTGTGCCTGCTCGGTCACTTTAAAGATCGCGCCGAACTAGTTCAGTTCGGACAACGAACTAGTTTACTGTAATAGTTCTATTCGGTCCTTAACTCTAATCACTCCAAACCCAACTCGGAACCAAATATTATGTATTTAAATCGCTCAGACAGAAACGTTCTTTGGCATTTACCACTTATACTTACCCTTTCAAGGACCGATACCTTCAAGTAGTGTGTTAGTCGATAAGATATTATTTATAATAAATTATATTATAATTGTTTTCCCGTGAACTGTGAAATATTTACTGCATAGCTTTCATACTACGAGTAGAATTAGAGCATTGTTTAAATAGATGAAACTTCGGTCACAGATTACCCCCTAATAGATACCGCATTATTGAATATTTGTACTGATTCGAGTCACAACATTTGGTGGTATGCAAGGGTTGCGGGGGACGTGTCAAATGCGCTGTCATTGGATATTACTTGGAATGCATCGAACCATAGTGATGGGACAGGGTTGGGACGTTGATCGCTAAATTAGGTAGGATGATCTGAATCATTGATATTAATTTTATTTTTGATTTGTTGGTTATTGATAAATAAATATATTACTCAATGTTTTCTTGATAATTATTAAAAAAATAAAACAATGTTTATAATTTTTTAAATTTATTTGTACATTTAAGTTTTTAAATATATATTTTATTGATTTTTAAAATGGATAAGCTTGGTATAAATGCGTCTCACAGAATTCTTAGGATCTGTCTTCCGAGATAAGTAAAGTAATCTTATGTCTATGTATTTTTCTATGACACTCTTAGCTAAATCAATGACATGATGACAACTTTCGTGATCGAATTGGTGATTTTTTATTTCAGGGAAAATATCCTCATCAATAAAACTGCTTAATGTTTGTGTTACAAAACGGAATTTGTCTTTGTAATATATTTTAGATCCTTGATTTGAATCGATTGAGCTTCGAATGACTTGTTCAGATCGTCTGCAAATTTTGGTGACCATAGTAGACGGGAAGAGCAGTCCTCCTGCATCTCTTGCATAAATCAAACTGGTTTTTTTCTCATCCAGGGATATTAATGTTTTAACGCACGTATTGCATTTAATCTTCTTTATTAAATAATGTACAACAGCGCCAGCGAGATATTCTATGACGCTTTCTGAAAACTGCGATAACGGTATATGCTGTAAGGAATCAATAAAAGTTTCATCAACGCGTTCCTCAGTCTCGCTAGTTTCACCCCTTTCAGTCGTCATATTTATGCGTTTTATAGCTGAAGAACAGTTTAATATGGCAATATGTTCTAAAGCTACACAATTACCAGTATTAAGTTCTTGCAACTCCTTATGCACAAGCATTTTTCTATAAATGCCATAAAACTGTTTTGGTGTTGGGTTGTTATTAGCGCCGTTGTTAATGTGGTCTTGGCTGATACGGTGAAACGATATGTAAGGAACGCGTTGGTTCTTTATTAAATCATTAAACAAAAACTTTGCACTTTCAATACATATACAAAGTTCTAAAAATCCAGTAAATGGTGGCGTACTAATCAATCGCATCTGCTTATTTTTTAAATTAGTTGTCAAATTCATTAAGACACTTTTGCACCATTCTAGTTTTGATAAGACAACTTGAGAGTTTTCAGCGTTTAATGCCCTTTTTAGTCCATATCCATGTACTTTTGAATCTAAAATGTCAAATAAGTCGTTTAATAGTAATAACATATTAGCTGTTCCATCTATTTCTTGAAACTGGGCTATCTTTAAAGTGTTTTTGCAAAATTGGAGCGCTATTGATACACTCCTGCTAAATAATTGAGTGGCAAGCTTCACTTTCATAATCTATATATATAAAAGAAAGTCGTGTTAGTTACACTATTTATAACTCAAGAACGGCTTTACCGATCTGGCTGAAAATTGGTGGGGAAATTGCTTAGAGCCAGGAGACAGACATAGGATACTATTTATTCCGAAAAAAAAAAAAAAAAGTTTGCACGAACTTTGCTTTACTCGGAGATGCCACGTTATTATACTTGGAATGCTTCATCGAAGAATTTTCAAAGACGGAAGATTTTTTTCTAAGAAAAAAATTAACTTACTAAATTCGAAAATCGGCTTATTTATTGCCTTTAAGGCGGAACAGAGTTCGCCGGGTCAGCTAGTATTTTTTTAAAAAAACAAGTGCTTTGATCGTAGCTTGTTAGCCGCGTGAAACTTCTCATCTTCTTGCAACTGGTGTAACATCTCAATATGATTCCATTTTATATTATTGCCTTCAGCATCTTTGAATTCCCTGTAATGTTCAAAACTATTTCTAACTAATTTTGTCATGTGCGCTGGATCGAGAAAGATAGCTATTTCATTATTTTGTACTTTAAAAACAGTTTTTAAATTATTTGGATTCAAATCGCAGCCAAGTTTTTTGGCCATTGCTATATTGACTGGACAGCCATCGAAGGTGACAGCTTTAACTACCAATCCAGCTTCAAAGCATAATTCAATAGCTTGAGTAAGCAAAATTTTTTTTGATCAGCTGTCACTTTATTAATAAAAAAAAAACCAATAGGCACTTTCCATTTACCGTGTAATGGAACAACTAGAAAAACTAATGCGTCAGTACATTTTTCTCTACAGTCGGAATCCACACTTCCACCGTAATCTACATAACCGTATGTCTTTTCTACTTTCGTCTCAATTTTCATTTCATCGAAGACAATACAGCAATGAATAGGCAGATTTGTCTGTGTTGCCTTAAATTTCAGAGCATCAAAAGCTTCCGTCGTGAAACCTGGACGACCATCTACAGATTTGTACCACTTTCCTAGTGTTTTTACAAGTATTAAATGTTTTGCGTACATAATTATAAGCTTTAGTTGAGTAAAAATTTAAGGTGAGTGCAAAAGCTCTCAACTGCGGTGAGTAATTTTTCCTAACAATTTTGCCTGATTTTCCTTTCAATATTTGACGACGAATAATTTCACTACATTTGATCCCTAAGGAACTTAATGCGTGATTGTTTTCGGCTGTTAATAAAAATTTTTTTTCTAATTCTGCCAATAATGAATTCAAAGAAATTATTCGTCTTTTTAGTTTTCTGTTGGAATCGCTTATCTTTTTTATTTTCTTGTTTTTTGTCTTTACTACGTTGGTTAATTCGATGATTCTTCTACAAAGACGTTTTTTAACTGGAGTATCAAATGCAGATGGCGTATCAGGTATAGGTGAAAATTTCCTTCTTTGTTTTGTAGGCGTCACTAAGCAATGGCTCTGGTTTTTAGGTGTTGGCGGGGTTTTTGCCAGCGGTGAACGAGCAATCTGAAGTTCTTTTATAACATTAACATTTAGGTACTCATTATACGATTACCTACTTATTTATACAAATTAAAATTATATCACTAATGTTTATTATAATCATACCGCTTTTTCAGACTATGTGCCAGCCACCGGAATCTCCTTATTTTTAGCTACAATATCTGCAGTTACACTTATCGTAGAGGCGGGTGCCTAAAAGTAGTATTATTAATTAAAATACCATACGGTACGTTTTTAAATTTACAATAGATGTAATTATAAAAGTAATAAGATATTATTGAAGTTCATGTTACACTAGAATAGCAAGTCAAAACAATAGTCACATTTCATTAAAATTAAATACTTTTTTACGGGTTATTACTTTTACATGTTTTATGATTTATAAATCCGTTAAACATAGTTTAATTTCGACGTATCATGTTTCACTTAATCACTTACTGCTATGATTGTGTAATCTACATTGGTACTAATCTTTAAAAAAAATTAAAAGTCCATACCAAAACTGGCAAGTATAAAGATGGTAAAGCGGAATCCAACAGCCTTCTACGGTTTTTCATATAATGAAAATTATCTTCTGTGAAGTGTCTCGAACACATCACACTATATTTAGTGGGAAACCAATCGTCCCCTCGACAAGTTGCATCGATCCACATCTTCTTCCTTTCGGGGCATTTAGGAAACCTATTACATATAGAAGAATGATACGCCACTATTTTTTACTAAATAAAATGACTTCAATAAACAAAATTCAAACGATGACCAAATAAATATCGACTTATAAATTACAACACTATCGATACACGTGCTGTTATTAGACAAAGACAACTATTGTAATTTACGTAATGAGTGAAAGGGACATTTCAAAAAGACATCAACGGGTGCCTTATTGTTATTACTTTGCACCATTATGTTACCAGTTTAAGTTGACCTCCAGTGCATTTGAAATAGTTTAGCGTGATAAGAATAGAATTTACCGACTTACCGATGAAATTTAATGCCATCTTTTTGATAACTGGATGTCTTAGCTGACTTGCCACACCATTTCACTGCACAGTAAGCCATTTTTAACGTATTTTGGGATAGTAAGCTATTTTTAAATTGTCATAAACTTGGTCGTCACTGAAGTCGTAATTCTTAGCGTCACTTAATTTAATAGCTATAGTTAATAAGTGTTGCGCGTCTTTGTGGCCCTGTATGCGGTATCTATTAGGGGGTAATCTGTGAACTTCGGTAAAGATGATGTTAATGAAAGCAGCGAATAATATAATAATAATAAACAAATGAAAATAAAAATCTAATGTCGTATTGTAGTTGTATTTATGTGTGCATATTTGATTTTCCTTCATACTTTAACACTTAGAACTGTTGCTCTAATTTATATTCTCAATACTTCTAGGTTTGAGGTGGTTATAATTTCTAACAGAATACGTAAACAATGTTGTTTACTTATTTTCATTAGTGCGGCGTATTTAAAAATCAAATATGTACAACGATTTAATATTTTTTTGGTATTTCATGTATGTTTTTTTTGTGTTTTATATTTATTTTACGATTTTAATAATCTTAAATATTTATTTCATTCTGTTTTTAGTACTTGTTGCTATAGCGGCAACAGAAATACATAATCTGTGAAAATTTCAACTGTCTAACTATTACGGTTCATGAAATACAGCTCGGCGACAGACGGACAGACAGACAGACAAACGGACAGACAGCGAAGTCTTAGTAATAGGGTTTTACCCTTTGGATACGGAACCCTAATAATTAACGTAAAGTAATGCCAAAATAACCATTATATTGTGTGACACAAGGTTTACATTGCCATTCGCTATTTTGTCGTGAGCCATACACACACAAATACATCGTGAGTAACGTAGTCTTCTAATTCGTTCAAACGAGCTATCGCTCGTGAAACATTATGATCACATAACTGTTCACCGTTCAGTTTGATTTAAGCGCATGTATCAGTTGCAGACATTAGTGCGCCCATGCACGGCAGTCTCGCTGCACGCCGGGCAAACATAGCGTTCAGCCACGAGACGCGCGGTAGCGTTTGCACCGGGATGGCTCAGGTTATGTAGCCGGTCAAATATAAATTTTCTATACGCTCGAGTCACATACGGGCGAGGCTTCCCCGTCGAGGTGCCACATGTCAGGCAAATGTCGGTACCTGGGACAGTGAGCTTAGTCAGTTGGAGACTAGAGTCACCTCTGGTGAGATCTGCGAGCTCCAGGTCTTTCTCCTGGTCTTCCGCGAGGGCTGAAAAGTCCTCCTCCCGTCAAATAGACTCACCTCTGGAGAAAGCGTTCGCTACGACATTGTCCACGCCCTTCACATACTGAACGTCAGTTGTAAACTGTGAAATGAACGACATTTGATTTAACTGGGTGGGAGGCAACTTGTCTCTGCGCTGGATAAACGCGTAGAGCAGGGGTTTGTGGTCGGTATAGATGGTAGTGCGCTCAGTTTCCAGTATGTGCTTAAATGTTGCACGGCTGAGTAAACAGCCAATAGTTCTCTGTAATAAGCAGGCCAAGCGCTTTGCTTGGCAGTGAGCTTTTTGCTGAAGAATGCTATTGGCTGCCAACCTTGGCTAGACAGTTGCTGGGTGAAATAGAGAAGTAGCAGACGCTAAGCTATTCTTGCAGACCTCGAAAGCTTCCTTAAGTTGTGGAGTCCAAGGAAAGGGTTTTGCACCTTTATCTTGAACGGCGGTGACTGCGTCGATCAAAGGTGCTTGATACTGTGCAGCTTTGGGAAGAAAACGTCGGTAAAAGTTTACCATGCCCAGGAAACGCCGCATGCCCTGCACGGTCTTGGGAGGAGAAAAATCGCGAATGGCCTGGATTTGGTCCTCAGGTGGGCTAGTGCCTTCTGCATTTATGCGGTGCCCTGAAAACGTGACCTCAGAAGCGCCTAAGACGTATTTGCTCGGGTTCACTACGACACCATATTCACGGAAACGCTGGAAAAGGATGCGCAGGTGTTCTGCGTGTTCGGCAGGGTTCTTGGAGAAAACTAAAATGTCATCGACATAGGCAAAGCAGAAGTCAAAGCCCCGAACGACCTCATCAATAAAACGTTGGAACGTCTGGCCAGCGTTTCTTAAACCAAACGTCATAAATGGAAACTCGAAGAGGCCGAACGGAGTAATGATCGCCGTCTTCGAAATGTCGTCTGCAAAGACCGGAATCTGCTGATAAGCCTTCACTAAGTCAATCGTGCTGAAGACCTGGGACCGGAAGGCTGTTGCTGAAATCAATGATGTGCCGGACTGGATAGCGGTCAGGCACTGTCCGGGCATTAAGAGCGCGGTAATCGCCTCAAGGGCGCCAGGTGCTGTCCTTTTTCGTGGTCATGTGCAACGGTGATGACCAAGCACTCTTCGAAGGTGTAGCCATACCACATCTCACCATATCTTCGAAAACTTTCTTGGCAGCAGAACTTGGTGTACTGTGTTCTGCTTGACCAATCTGGGTAAACCCGGTGGACGCGTTATGTCGGAGAACTCAGCCAGCACTGCAGCAAAGCGTGAGTCGCCGGTGGACACAGCTTTAACGCTATCCTATTTTATTTGGGCTACCCCAGCCGCGACAGACAGCTTGGTACTACCGTGTACAAGGCGCTTATGTCGGCAATCGGGCAGTAAATTATAATGACTTAAAAAGTCCGAGCCGATAATAGGGGAGCTGACGTCGGCGATTACGAAATCCCAACGAAAATCACGGCGTAACCCAAAATTCAGGTTGAGGGTTACGAGTATGTTGCCGTACGTCTTAATAGTAGTGCCGTTAGCGGCACTAAGGTCGTAATCTGCCGGAGAAAAACGTCCTGTTAACAAACGACGCGGGGAGCAACACAGATCCGAACCAGTGACAATTAAGTAATTGTACTTTGACAACTGGTCAGTAACAAACAGGCGGCGTCCGGAGGGGTGGCAATAAGCTGCCGCCTCTACTTACCTTGCTGGTTTCCCGAAGCAGTCCAGGAACAGGGCTGAATGCATTTTGCAGCGCGGGCAGCAAATCTACGATGGTACCAGCAAAATTTGGCACCACTAGGGCCAGGAGTTCGACTCCTGCTACGACCGCGGTGGTTAGACGGACCGCGACTACGGGACCTGTGATGCTGCTGCTGCGACATAAGTGCTGAAACCTGCTTGGTAAGTCGTTCTACACAGGTGGCCAGAGAGGACAGGGTGGGACTGGTGTTATCAAAGCTGTGAACCTGAGGTGAGCTCGGCAGGTCCATGATTTTGTCAGCGAGTTCTGAAATTTTGTCTAAGGTAAGATCAGCTTGAGCTACCAGAATAGCCTAAACATTACTTGGTAACCGACGGGGAAAAAGTTGGCGAAGGAGTTTGTCGTCCTTGCTGGACGTGCCAGCGAGTGAACGAAGGTGCCGAAGGAAGGAGGAGGTCTTACGGTCTCCAAGTTCTTCCTCGCTGAGAAGTCGGCGAACTCGTTCCTCCTCAGAGGTTGATAAGCGCTGAATGAGTTGTTCCTTCAGCGTGGTATATTTGTTTGTTGCAAGAGGGTTTAATATAATGTCTTCAACCTCGCCTATTAGTCGTTGATCAATTGTTGACAAGACATGACTATATTTGGTAGAGTCGGTAGTCACACGAGCAAGATCAAATTGGGCCTCCGCTTGGGCAAACCAAACTGCGGGGCGTTCAAGTTTTTTTTTAATTGGATTGCATTTGAGGCCTTCAAAATAAAGCAAAAACTAAACATTTATATTATCTAAGAAACAAAAATTATTATTTCTAAATTATACTGATTATTATAATCATTAATCATCATGTGTTTGGCTATTTGTGTGTTTGTGCACGTGCGCATGTGTGTGTATTGTGTGATATCAATGTGTGTTTATGAATTCTGGTAATGAAGGAATAGTTTTATCAATTTTCATAAAATTAATGAGAGGAGTTGAAACATTCAATGCAATATCCTTTTTGACAACGACTACATGCCGTTTTTACTTTTTGTGTTGAACTTGTAGCCCTCTTCGCATTGTAGCCTGCTGAATTTTTTTTCTTGTAGCAACCGATACATCGTTTTCTAGTTAATCCTTCAATCAATTTATGCTGGGTTGAAAGGGTTTTTTGCGGCTCTGGAATTTCATTTAGAGATAACAGTCGTCTTATAATAATTTCGTGGGCATGGAGAATTGGTATTTTCTATTTCCTTGGTCCAAAATCGTTGTACACGATAGTGGAGTTCACTACTGCAATACTCAATAGCAAGCAAGTCGAAAGAAATCTTCTTATACCACTTGATACACTTTCGATCCGATAGATCTATTCCTTTTTTGCGTTGTTGTAATAGATTACACTTACAGCAGTTGGTTTGAAGATCTTGTTCCTACCCGTGGTCATTTTCATGGCTTTCCCGTGTGCTGTAGATAAGAGCATAACATCGCGTTTGTCATGCCATTTCATGACAGTTACATCATCATTTTGCATAACTGGCATTTCTCCTTTCTCTAGCGAGCTAATTACTACAGTTGTTAGCAACCCTTTCCTTTTCTTGTTGATTGTTCCGAGAAGATCAGTTTTTCGTTGTTTTAAATATTTTGCAAGTGCAATGCTCGTTTAATAATTATCGATCACCATCATTCTGCCTTCATCAAGTAAATCTGCCGCTAAAATTGCTACAATACGACCAGATAAGTCAAGCTCAGGAAGTTTCTGGCTAATTCTACAGTATATCATGTAATTCCATACATAGCCATTGACAGTACAGAGTTTATAGATTTTTATCCCATATTTATGGGCCTTTCACGGTATGTATTGACGCAACAATAATCGACCACGGAAATGAACCATTGATTCGTCGACAACAGTAATGGGTCCCGGTGTATATATGGGGTCTACCAATAAGAACGTCCTGGTTTAAAAATTGAATAAAACACACAATTTTTTATGAAAAATGCATCCGATTGATTTATTTGATAGATAATTTTATGCAATTTATGTTTTAAATAATATATCGGCCAAATGACCGCCGCGGCTCTTTTTGCAGACGGTCACCCGCTTACGCCAATTTTCGATGACGCGGTGCACCATTGCGGCCGGTATGTCGGCTATGGCTCGTCGAATGTTGGTTTTTAGGTCACGAATTGTAGCTGGATTATTGCTGTACACTTTAGAATTAACGTAACCTCAAAGAAAATAGTCTAAAGGTGTTAAATAATACGATCTTGGTGGCCAACTGATCGGTCCATTTCTCGAAATTAACGCCTCACCAAACTTTCCACGCAATAATTCCATGTTCACTCGAGTAATGTGAGGTGGTGCACCGTTTTGTTGAAAATAAAGGAAAACAAATTCCGGCAAGAAATATTCGGTTAACATCGAGTTATAGCGCTGGCCATTCACAGTAACAGGGTTTCCTTCGTCACTTTCAAAGAAGTTTTGGACAATTTCCAAGCGTTGGTTTAAAGTGTAACGTGACATGATAAAATGGCAAACCTTCCTGAACGAACACAAATGTCAAGAGACGTCAAAGATCTATCATCAAACATGGCCGCTATGAGCTGTCAAAAACAGGTCATCCCTATTGGTACTGGGTCTACCATTGCTATTTATTATATATTATATATATTTGCTGTGAATTTTCGATAATCAGTTTCAGAAGAGGCTCTATTTTGTACAATCGTGCACTTGAATTTCTTGGAATGTTATTGTCAGCAAAATGCCAACACTTCAACAATAAACTAAATCTATTGTACGACATTTTAATTTGGTGCAGCAAAGGATGATGGTAAATAGGTAAGGTAGCTAGGTAGGTAGGTAGGTAGGTTCCAATAGCTCTCTATGGTAGGGAAATTAATCAGTCCTGTTAGAAGGATTACACCCAAAAACTTCAACATTTCTTCTTTTGTCACATCTTTCCACCTATGCATGCGGCTGTAAAGTTTTCTAATTGTGCATTGTTTTTGCTCGGCACCATACTTATTAGTTTCAATAACCATAAGATCTAGGACTCGATCATCAATAATTTGACGAAAAATATCAATTATATCCGTGTCCCTGTCGAAATGTAAGTTCTGGCGGAACAAATCGACTAAAAATGTTTCGCGTACCAAATCACATACATCACGTTTCCAGGAACTATCGCCAATATCTACAAATTGGACTGATCTTGAATTTTGTACCCTGCGATTAGCCTGTCAAACTGGTGGGTTATAGAGGTGAGTCGATTCTATATTTGGCTCTGACACTATGACCTTTGAGCAATTGGCTGTAGAGGGTAGTCTACAATAATCATTTTTTGAACTACCAGCAACAGAATTTTTTCCGACTTCATGATTCAAGTTTGTTGTAGAAAGAACTTCTTCAATTGTTTCAATAGTATCAAGTTCATTAGTTACCTGGCTTGGTGCGGTGTGTTCTGTTTCAATTAAAAAGTTTTTAATGTCCTGTATTGTCTCATAATCCGTGGGAGATTGGTGATCATATATAAACTCTTCGTCATCTGTCTCACTGTCACTATTCATTAAAATATTGATTATATAGTCATCCTTCACCTTAGCCATGTTGCAGTAATACAATAAAAAATAGTTTGGAAAGCTAAATCGAACTACGAAACTGAATGTAAACTTTTTTGAATTTGAGTGTTTTCATTAAAAATTCTAGAAACATATGGTACAGTTATTGCAAATTCATCACTTAGTTCAGAAAATTTACTATCTAATCTTATTTTCTTAAATATCATTAATATGTGATTAACAGAAATTCCAGTATTTTCATGTATAATCTTAATCAAAAAATAACAATCCTTAGGTACAACAATGTAAAAATGTAGTCTATTTTAAATTTTGTGTATTTTTTTAACATTATTTCAACATTATCCTCTTTTTTTAATAGAGGTTCACTAAAACTACTACTGGTGTCAGATGTAGTAGATTTTGACTGAACAACAGATGGAGTATACATAGATATATCACTATCTGATTTTTAATCTAGTCTGGATACAACATCGAGTTGAACTTGCTGTTGTTTGAATGGCTGTAACTCAGTAACTTTAAAAGGAGAAGTAGATGTACACACACCAAGAACTCTCATTGGTGAAGTCCCTGTTGTTTGTGAATTTATTACTCTCAGGGTTTGCTTGCTCCTATATTTGGGTTTTATAATAACTTGAACTGCTTTATTGATTTTTGTTGTTTGTGTTTCATCATGTTTAACATGAGGTGGTTGTGGTGGTGGTGGACAACAGTGGTGGAGCTGAAAATGTTGTGAAATAATGTTTAGTGTGACATGTAATTATTTAAGTAATACTTAGTATTAATAACATACTTTATAATCTTGTCTCACACAGATTGATACATTACCATTGCCACAAGCAATAGATAAAGCATTTAAATTGTCACTACAATCTAGATTTTACATAGTATACAGGGTCATAAATAAGTGTAATATCTTGTTTAACTACAAAGAGAATATTAAATCAAATACATATGTTCATAGATACCTGAGCTTGTGCTTGGAACATTAGTTAAGTTTTCACACTCTTGAGATACATCAACCCTCATTTCTTCTTGTTCTTCACACTCTTTTATCAATGACAGTCTTTGCCTTTTCACCATGGCTGGCCGGCACAAATCAAGTGAAGCACTAGGCCGGTCTGGTTGACAAGCAAATTTTCTTGGCAAACAACCAGGCTTCGTGATAATTCTAGAGACCATACCCATTGTAGTATATTCCACGTAATTTTCCATATCATTTGGCAGCTAAAATTAGAATTATTTTAGGTTAGGTTAAATAAAATTAAATAGTATTCATACTCCGTTACTTTGACTGTGATATTATTTTGTATATAGGTAATTAAAACTTACATCGAAGTGATCCTCACAAAAATAGGCGGTACTTGTTGTTGTTAATGCTGCTATATCTCTTCTAGCAAGTCTTAACCACTTTCTCCTGATTTGCTTATCTTTTGTCACATGAATAAGCAATTTATCCGGTGTAGTAACTCATTGAAAATACCAATATTTTTTTTATGGTAAACAATAGTAAATCTTCAAAATAAAAGCAATTCCAAAAAATTATTAACATCCCTATTCTTCATTGTCGACGTAGTGCAGGGCGTTAAGGTTGATTTCGTTGCGCTCGTAGTCCTGTTCCTCGGGTTGCTCCTCCTGCTGATACTCCTGCTGCTCCTCGTACTGAGTTTCGTCCTCGTGCTGGTCCTCCCCTGCTAAAAAAGGTTAATAAAAGTTAATAAGCAATAGAAACAGATAATAGTTTAAGAAAATTGAGTCTCTTGCTTTCAATTGTTATTTTTAATATCGACTTTTATCAATCTTATCGCATTTTATGAAGTTCTAATGCAAATAATGATATTAAAAGTTAGATACCAGGGTCGTCCTCAGCGTCCTCGTTCTCCTCTTCGACGTTGGCAGGTGCCTGTTGCTCTTGTCGGAAAGGATCGACATCCTCATAATTGTCGTCCTGATGCGGCGGCTGTTCGACGACGATTGCTGGATTGTTCCTCGGCAAAAGAACACGAGCACGACGGTGCGGAGGCTGTTCTTCCAGCTCGTTTACAGCAGCTCTCTTCCTGCGATACCCTTCCTTGACATTCTTTATTGCCTTTGTCATGGTAGTAGAAAATTTGTCCAAGGTGGGCTTCTCCATACCATCCTTGTCGAGATTCATAGCAGCTGTATAACAAAAAAAATAATAGTAATAATTATAATCGCATAAACATGATATAAATTGCAATTAATAATATGATCGTACCTTCGCAAGCTTCGGCAAAACGCGTCGACTTGAGAGCCACCTTCACGCGGTTCTTCTTGGAGCCATGCCAACACAAATTCCGGAAGAGGTCGTTGTGTAATTCGAAGCAGCTTTTAAAATAAAAGTTTGCTTCGTCCTACACATTCGCACCTCCAAGATATGAGAGATAGTTAACCTAAAGCAATTTTGTTCAAAATTAATTATCAGTATAAAAGTAAATAATTATAGAAATACATATATACTCACAACATCGTCAAACAATTGTCGGTGGCATTATTAAATTCCAGCAGGTCTGCAATGGACTTGAAGGGGAAGCACACAGGCCTGGCCCTAACCTTAGGGGAGTTTCTCCTCGTCACCCTCAGCATTTTGAACATGGAACTAAAAAGCACGATTGATATAAAATGTACAATCATTAAATTGAAAAGTTGAACCAGAAATATCTACTCACTTTTGGACTTTTTCCATATTTTTCACCCTTTCGTCAATTGAGCTAAAATTAAACGTATAAATGAATGTAATATAGTTATACATACTTTATTTGAATTTAAATTAATCTACCCATCGATTATACCTTCCCAACGTCTCGATGGCAGTAAGTCGGGCGCTTACGTTACTGCAATAATAAGACATAAATAAATAGATATTTACTACTTTTATAGCAGTAAAAAATATATTACCTATTAGTTTCTTCGACGTCCAAGACTATCCTTCTGTTTGGATCACTAAAATGTAGAATAAATAAAATTCTCATAAATATAAGTTTCAACTGCTGCTGAGAAATTAATAAATTAATTAATATATAAATTACTTTATCTTATCCTTCAATTCTTGGGTCTCCGATAACAGAAGGTCCAGTCGAGCTAATGCTCCAGGTTGCGCTGTAACATAACAGAGGAATAAAGTAGCAACGTATCTCAATAATACAGAATAATGATTCGGTATGATAAAAATCTTCTTTTGCGAAGAAGAAGTAGCCTTCTGCGGCTGGGAGTCCCCCATCGACGACATCTTCCTCACCAAATTCTCCGTAGCATCATTCACAGAAGATGCTCCGCAGTTCTTTTTCACGTTGTTACTCATGTACAATAACAACGTAGTATTTGCCCTATTAATGGACTTTTTGAAAAAGTGTAAAGTGAAGCAGACTAAAACGAAATGTGATTGGTTGCCTTAAAAATGGAGGCAAATTTGAATCAATAAAAAGAAAAGTTAAACTACAGACTGTGTGGAGATAATTTTAATAACGACGAAACGTTCAGCATTCGTTCAGAAGCTATTATGAGTTGTGAAATAATATACGTACGCCACAGGGCACAACTGTTTTATAGAATATTGGAATAATTATAATTGTTACATAGAAAAGCGTCACACCGCACACAGCGCAAAAAGAGAAGGGAACAACATGGCCGACTAGAACCATCTAGATAGTTTCAAACAATGTTGCCATACTTAAAATACTTATTGTAATCTTCTACAGAAGCTTCTGCTAAATAATCATTACGAGCTCTTTCAAATAATTTTCTTCTGCGAGCTCTGTGATCAGAGGTTTCCTATACCGTATACTTCCAAGCCTATACATAATCATTTATCGCGATTATGGAGAAGCAGAGTATGATGAAATTTCAAATCTACCAGCCCTGTAATGAAAAAATAAATACAAGAATATTGCTACAACCAAAATGTTGCTCTTAAAAAATGATAAAATCCTTACACTGGACAAATGAGGTTGATATGGCCGAAAAAGTGTGCGGGTGTTGCAGTGTCGTTGATTCGTCTCCAACTTGCAAAACCTCTTAATATACACATGACGTATTACGAAACATGTTTCATAATAATCAATTAATCAGGAATCAAATCAAGATAAAGCTTGATCATTATTATAATAATAGAGTTAAACAAAAAAGTAATATACGGCCAGCTTTGTTATGCTATTAAAAAGCTTTCCACAAAATTGTACGTCTCAAAATAATTTAAATAATAGGTATTATATGACAGGTTTTCGAACATAAACATTTTTAATTGAACATTTAAAATTTCTAATAGCAGGAATAGATTGCGTGTGCACTCACAACAATAACTGCATCTAGCACTTCCCTCTAAACTTAATAATTGTCTATAAAATGGCATTTTTTAAATTATATCTACTCATTTTCTAAAAACATATTAAGTTTAGAAGGTAATGCTAGAGGCATTTTTTGTTGTGAGTGGCACAGTATCATATATCTTATACGTGATCATGGGTTTTCCGTACGGAATAGTGTTGATGATGTAATGTCATTATAATATATGTATAATTGCAAATGCACTTACAGCGATGCACGCAGAGCACTATAATAAAGAGCAATAAGCCTGTTGATGTTCTGTTCCTGTCCTGTTGATGGTGATGAGTCCATATATGCAGATGAAGTAGATGTTGGGGGTTGAATATTTCCAGCGATGAAGATTTTATTTGTACCTGTAAATAAAAGTTTTAGTACGTGTACATTTTTTAAATGAGTTAAAAAATAATACTTGAAATAAAGCTGAAAATAGAAAATAATAATGATTTAATATTTATAGATTGCATAATATTTCAATATGCGTATATTTTTGTTGTGAAGTTTTTGAAAGTTCTGTATAAAATTTCAGACCTATGGCATAAAAATTATTGAAGTAGTGTGTATCAACATGTGACTGCCCTGAAAAGCTTTTAATCGCAGAACCATATGATAAAATAAAAGCTTCAAAGCGTTCTAATTTACATGTTATTGCCCCTAAAGATCTGAAATTTTGAATACATGTTTTAAATAACATAACAAGTTTTGTAACGGAGGCAATTAAGCCAAAATCTTTCATCGTGGCTAGCTTTGTTAAGGCGTGTTCCGTTGCGGCCCGGCCACAGTCGATTTCGTAATTTATAGACGTCTCAATTAAATATTCTGTTATTAAATGTACCACAAATATATCTTGTTTAAAAAGAAATGTATATTTTCTGGTAGGATACTTAAAATGTTCTAAAATATAAACCAAATAAATGTTCCTTTTATGTTCTTCATCAACAGCCTTTGCTAGTCCACTGCTGAACATAGGCCTCTCCTTAGAAAGGAGGTTTTGGCCTACTATTTATGTTCTTTTTTTTTTCAAATAAATAAACCAAGAGAAAGGTATACATAAACAAAAAATGACTTAAAATAAGAATTTGCACTAAGCGCCTGTAGGACTAAAATAGCAATGTAAGTATGTTAGCAATCAAACAATAACAAGATAGATTATTATTATACAATTATTAAAAACCCGTAAATTTAAATTATATGCTTTTAAAGACAAAGTAATCAAAATAAATTGTAACTTACAGTATTAAAAAAATTCATAGAATTGTTTTTTTTTTTAAGACAACTACAATTAAAATTAAAAGTAAAATAAAAATACTGTACAATTCAAATTTAACAAAAAATAAACAAATTGAAAAGAAACAAAATACGATATTAAATAAAAAACAACTTCCACATTAGGAATATATCCTGTGGAGGAACGAGTGCCATGTCCCTCCAACACAAAGGGAGGATCCTCCGACCAGGCGAGGTGATCATGCCTGGCGCGCCGCAGCCCAACATTTGATGTTGGGAAGTTATATATATGCTAATCGGCGGGAGGGAGGGAATTCTTCATATCGCGATACAGGATTAGCAATTCTTATTTAGTAGCTACTCCGTATTTCGGTGTGTAGTCTTTAGATGGCGCTGTAGTATGTTTCTGTTTCTTCGTATGTGGGAGTTGCCACAATCCTGTGTCGCGGGGACTTTACAAACATACATGAAACGGACACAAAGAACACCCAGCCTTAGAACAACAATTTGTGGATCACACAAAATGTTGTCCCATGTGGGGATCGGACCCACAACACTCGGCGGCCTGTCGACCGCTTAAACTACTACGCCATCCGTGCATTCAACGTTAAACGCAGTCGTGGTAGTATTGTAACTTATTAGGTGCTACTCTAATCAAAGTACCTATTATAACTAATTTCTTACAAAACTGTGTAGATAATACAATGAACAGATATAACTGTATTATTTGTCCACCAAAATTGAACTACTCAGGTCATCTAAACACTGCCATCTATAATGTTTTCGCTTACAGTGGATAACATAATGACGCACATCATCAACGAACTCGATCACTGCTAATAAATGAAAGTGTTTTCCTTGTAAGAGTAAATAACTTGGAATAATATTTAAATCTACTTTTTCTGTAAGCTCATCCAACTGAAAAATTAAAAAATCTGTCAAATTGTAACTTATTGTTGTTTTGCCCATACATTTAATTCCATTCTTCACTGTAATTTGTCTTGTAGTGAAACGCACCAATTAAATTTACTATTTATTTTTGGGTTATTATAAAGGTTTATAATTTTAATTTACTATCACTGGAAACACCAAAATCAGTTTTTGCTACTCGAGCGGGGAAAACACTCTTGTCATAATCCTTTGACACTAACTGTCATTACTTTAATTGACTGACAGGTATACCACACTCGTCCCCTTTAAAAAGCTCTTACTATTCTATAATTAAATCAACATCCATTCACTAAGTAGTTTACTGCTAAATAAAATTTTCGGCGGTAGGTGTAGAAAATTATAGACGTGTCGTAAATCTCGTAAAATTGAATTTAAATTTTATTTATTGTAACTTTTGCCTAATTTTATATCTTGGGAGAAGTTAACACAGTCTATGTGCTGGTACTCAAAAAAACTCATATTTGATGAACATTTAATGTGATATAAGCCAATAAATCGACACCACCTGCCAGCGCATTGCTTTACAGTGTTTAACAATTTATTTTAAATTATAAACAATCAAGAATGTCGCAGTTCTCTGATATATTATCGGCGCAGAGGACACTTGAGGAGATATTCGCGAAGAAGATGTCTGATCTTGAAGCTCAGATACAAAGTGCTGGTCCTGCTAAAGACACTGTGGCCAAGGTTGCGGAGGAATCTGCGTGTACGCCTCCCACAATTTGCGAGATTCGTTGTCTAATTTTTGACTCAATATAAAAATAATGATTACGTCCCAATTATCAATCTTCAAACCTAAGTTTTTTAAAGCGTTTATACATTCGTTCGTCGTGTTAAACATTTCCTTCAAACATTTAGACGATTCGGTCACTATAACCCTTTGATAAAAAAACCGCTTTAAGATACAGTTAGATATAATTTTTTTATTGTTGTATCGGTGTTCCAATGAGTACCAGGAAGTTAAATAATTGTCGTTGGTGACCGGTAAATGGCGCAGTAACTGTTCAGCTTCACCAGTAAGATAACTTTTTAAATATCTCATTTTCTCGACGTTGGATAGTGCACTTCTTAAAATTTGTAAATCCTTTTTCAATCCTTTTGTTAGTGTCAATTTGTAATCTTGATATCGCATCCATTTTTATTATAACTTTATGATATCTAGAGATTTTGGTAAGTTCAATTCCTTATAAATTTTCTAAGTGTCCAAATCGGTTCCAAATTTTCTAAGTTTAAACTTTTTAAAGTTAAAGTTAAATTTATTCTAAGTCCAAATTAGTTGAAATTTCATAAGTCCAAAATAAACCGATCGAAATTTTTTCTAAGTTAATATGAACAAAAGTACTCACAGTTTGTCTTCTGAACACTTTTATAATATTGCACTTCACTTATCTCACTTAATAACTGGTACTGCCGATTCTCGCCGCTAGATGTCGCTTCTATCTCTATCATTCCGCTGCTACAAACTGCTTCCCGTTGCCGCTGATATCCGACTCCGAAGTTCCAATGAATAAAAGCACAATTAA